CTTAAAACTTGTATACTATTAGAATATGGATTATTAGCTATTCTAATTGTTATAACATAAATGAAAAGTAGTTTAATAGAATTTTGAATGTAAGACACTAAAACCTTATGTCATGCACAGTAAAGGGTACTCGTGCCGATAGGGTTAAACAAAATACATCAACATTTATTAGGTCTTTCTACATAGTATACACTTTAAACATCAAAACATTTACTAAACCCTTATTTTCTTACAATTCTAATTTTCACTTTTCAGTTAAACACTATTAATCAATATGTATAGAATATTTCTCTATCATAAGCATTAACTTCCTTTAGTAAACTACATTAATTGAACAAGAGAGATAGCATATCTATACTTACAAGAAGGTCAGACTGGTATATCTCTGGAGGTTGGAAATCTTTATATTCATATTGACACAATTCACTTCTTTTCTCTCAAAGTCTTCTTCTTCCTGAAGGTCTTGATTTTTAGCTCCAGACATGAGTTTTTATACTATATTTTCTTTTTATACTTTCGATTTCCAAATAGTATTTCTGACTACCCATAAGTAGTCCTGATACTTTAGTGGCTAATTTCTGCAACTCATCAGGCATTTCCAAAACAAGAACTAAAACTCTCAAGTAATTGGTTACTGTGATGGTGAGTGCTCCAGTTGCCTTTTCAGTTGTACTATTACACTGGTCTGTAGTATCAGATCTCACATTAAAGCACCAATTAGAGATGCTATCATAAACTTTTTAGTAGCTACTAACTCAACATCAGAAACTTATAACAATCAAACTCGTGACTAGCGTTTTTCTCAGTTTTTTCTTTATAGCTTCATTTTTTATAACTCTAAACTCATGATTCTCAATACTAACCAACCAGTTAACTGGGCTTCGTCTAGTTCTTGACCTAATTTCGTAATACAGGTGTCTTTACTTATGCCATTTCTTTATGTATGTGTATCACACTCAGACAACTTAAATCTTTGTAGCTTCTTTCTTAACTCTTGAACATCAAAAATACTGAAGTAAGTGTAAAATTTCCTCAAAAATATCAAATTGCTTCATGATAATGAAGAAATGATGTATTAATATCTTTCACAGAATGTCCAAATTTACAACCCAAGATTCTTAGTGTGGGAATTCTTCCTGAAGCTCCACCACATGTAGAGAAATCTGCTTCATCAAGAAAGTTTAATGATGTTCGAACAATTTGTCTTAAAACCTTTCTGTCTACTTTGTCAAAAAAGAAGTAAGCAACAGGTGTCTTCAAGTTCTCTGTCAAACCAACAATTAGAAAGACAAGTGCTTCTGAAGCAAGCACCTCAACTTGTTCAGACAGAGATCCACCATAATTTATAAAACAGACCATTTTTCTCTGGCATTATTCCGCTAAGTTTGTATTCACAAAGACATGGAATCAACTACTAAGGTACAATCTGTCATATATGTTTTCACTATTAGTTCTTTCTGTAAACTTTCCAACACTTTTCACAAAGATCTGGTTCACACTTTACAGAAGTACCACAAGCACATAGTCAAAAGGGTGAAGTAATCATTTGATGTAGAAACTGCAAGCTTTTCAGAAAAAATGTTCACATACGACTCTTTCATCTAATGTAAAAAATATCTAATACATTGCTGCACTTCTCTATATCTCAGAGTATTCTTTATCAAAAGTCTTTCTCGCCACACCAGGAAAAGCATTTCTGATGGCTTTATATGCTTTACATCCACTTTCATTTAAACGTTACTTTTGTTCTTGTTGATGAGTTCTTTCATGTTGGATATTTTTTTAGTTATTGCTTTGTTACGTGTTCTCTTATTGCTTTAACCTTCTTCTGAACTAACCATTTTGTAGGGGAAATAGTTACTGGAGGACTCAAAGGGTGTTTTAGAACATTACCTTCTTCTTTGCTTGTACTGGAACGTGGTTCCTCAGAAGAAAGTCCAGTATTGGTATGCATCTAAGTGTATCTTATGTAAACATAGAGGGTTTACACTTGATCTCACTAATTTTTTGTTCACCGTCGAGTGACATGTAATAACCCTAAAACATCTCAAAATATAAAGATTACTAACTTGCATGCCAAAATGTGGTTGTTATACATATTTTTAGACTGATTTGCTTTACAGTACCCCCAGTCTTAAAATTCTGTTACTTTAACAAAAGTTATTACATACACAAAATTGCATGAGAAATTAAAATGTGTAAGCATAGTCATTCTTAACTGTAACTTTGTAACTGTTATTTACTGTATTCTCTTGACATTGTAACTATTATTTACTCTATTCTATTGACATTGTAACTATTATTTATAGTGTTTATTTTTTAATGTTTTAAATTATTATATCAAGTAGTAGATATATTTTTAAATTACTGTCTTATTTTTCAAATATTTTTTTACAACTTACTCATAAATTACACCAAATATAAAGTTTATCTGTTTGTTGTTAAGCATAAAACTACACAGTTGGTTATCTGTACTGTGCCCACCATAGGTATCAAAACTCAATTTTTAGCCCAGAGCTACTAGAGAGGGGGTCTATATAGTTAGTTAGGAGTAGTGTTATCATATTAAATTTTGTAGATATTTTATACTATGACCTTAAAAAAATGTTTGACAACTATTAGCAAAGACTTCAAAAGGTGATAGTGATTTTCTGGAGTCATTACAGACGATTAACTATGAGTTGGATCACTTATGTGACAAAAGACTGAAATCTGTGAGAGTGTATGCCAATTCTAACACATAGAAGAAAAATTTAATAGCCCTTTGCACAGACAGTTCCATAAAACTGCATTAACAAAGCACGTACAAAGTTTATCGAACCTGATGGTTGATGATCAACAGACATTACAGAATTGTAGGTTATTGCTATTAGTCACTTTGAGGAACTGTATTCTGAGAAATCAATTAATGAAGAGAAATTGTTAGATATGTAGACCAAGTTATCACAAAATGTAGGACACTTAAGTGTGAAGTATTTGTGGAATACAAATACTAAGTATAGTATATATCTGAAGTGTATTCTTATTTAATAATGTATAGTATGCAGAAAGCACCAGATCGAAAATGTTACGAGAAAGCTTGGGCAGTAACTAGGGAAGGTGCAGGCTTGAGGGCCACAGCAGGAGTAAGCTAAAAGTCGTGACCTCAGAGGGCAAGGATTCACAGCTCGCAGTTGTGGTGTGTTGAGAAAACTCCAATAGTTAAATAAAAATCATGGCAAAATGAACCAATGTCACACAAAAAAGCACTTAAAAAAATGGCAACGAAAGACAAGGGTAAGATACTCCTAGTGAAGAGTCGGTATTACAGGGTTTGTCTCTATATGCCCTAAGTTAATAGTCTTGGATGATTTTACCAAAAACATTAGATAAGAGACAGAAAATGAGTTATTTAAGGACTAATAACAGAGTGAATTTGGGTTACAGTCTAATGGAATAGTCCACTTTTTGCTGGAAGATCCCACTTGTACCAATCGAGTTAAAAGAACTACCTTTAAAAGTAGATTTGATAAACATCTTGAATAATTGGAAAAACACTAAACATTGTGTATATAATCCCATGTTCCCAACTCTAAATGGCACTTCTCTGCACTTATCAAGTTGCTCCGAAGATCTGATCCAACTCCAGAAGAAGACCACAGTAATCTAGAATGTACAAGAAGTTTGCTGTAGAAACTCCTTGTAAGTATGCTATTTCTGATCTAGTCTAACAGTGTTTAACTTAAGGTTCAATAATGGATAAAGAGAGAAAAGTAAAGAACATTAACTGTACCATAGATATAGTAGATTTGAAAATTTTAAAAATAGAATTACTTAAAGATATCTTAGAAGAATTGTTAATATAGTTAACTATAAACTTAATTGATAACTTAACTAATGTTGTATCTATGTTATTGAATGTAATAGAAGGGCTTATTAACAAATATCTAGACTTTCAAAATGAAGAACTCAATGATTCAGAAATAGTTATTGCAAAACAACTTTGAGAGTTTGATATGAATAAACTGTTGAACAGTAAATAAATAAAGAAGTTATTTGATTTGTATTCGGTTGTCTCTATTCAAGTTTTTATTCCACACCTAAACTTTCTCGAGTTGGTGGCTTGTGTGCTCTGCTCGCAAAAGCGTGACTTGAAATTCAAATAAATTACTTTGTAACAAGTAACAGGAGCCAGAATTAACTATGATTAATTTAAATTGTTTTAGCTCAGTCGTTGACAATGTGATGGGATTCCATTGGGGTAGGATTTAATGGGCCATACTAGCCAATTAAAATCTTAAGGGTTTGGCTTGTTCAACTCCAATGAAATTATGAAGCAATTGAGTATTTTAAAGCAGTTTTATACTATTGCTTCAGCATTTTAAGTGTTTAAGAAAGAAATTTAAGTTTTCTGGGTGTGGTACACATGCATAAAGAAATGGCATAACTAGGGACGCCTGTATTACGAGATTAGGTCAAGAACTAGGCGAAGCATAGTTAGCTGGTTAGTTAGTACTGAGAATCACATGTTAAGAGTTATAAAAATAGAGCTAACACCTAGCACCCCTTTAAAGATGCTGAGAAAAATGCTAGTCACGAGTTTCACAGTGATAAGTTATTGACGTTGATATCCAATGATATACTACTAACACCTAAGTATAATTAGTTTCCAGGCTGATTTTTCCAAGCCCATTCCCTTGGCTGTGGTTTCGCTAGATAGTAGATAAAAGTTAGTCATTTTAGTGACTGGTGAGCTCCACTCGCCACTGCATTCCTCAACTAAATAAATTTGGTGTAAAGACAGTAAAGTCAAAGCTCCAGTGACAAGCCCTAAGGGGACTGCCCATTACAAATAAATGATGTGGATAGCTTACTTTCTGTATGGAATTCAAAACATTGTCAGGATCAAACAAGTTGTATTTCCTACATTAATTTTTTTAGATTCTACATTTCCTTCATTCTCTTCTCAATTATACATTATTCAACATGCAACATCTAATTTCATTTGGTCTGGTTAACCAGGATTGTTACCCATTGTTACCCAAAGCCCATTGTGTAGCTTTGTGCTTAAATTAAAAACAAACAAATAAACTTTCTTATTCCAAGTAGTTAGTAACACAATCGATATAAAGTTTTAATATTGTGCAAAGTTCACAGTTTATTTAACAACTTTTAAATTTTTGTTAAAACCAAATGTTTTGAATTTTTATATATTTAACTATGTCTCGCTTTTCAGGTTTTTAAATTCGTGCATTATTAATGGGCGAGAGAGGCGAATTTTTACCTCTTCTCAATACCCTTATTTCGTATCTAGTTATACTGGTGCACACAGCAAACATCTGTGGCAAAACTAGTTTAAAATACATTACTGATTTGCTTTTAAAAGATCTGGTAATAATTCTATACGTTTTGATTTAATTTGAGCTGCTAAAATGTTTATAATGTATACTGGAAAATTAATTATTTTATATTATTGATTTTATAAAGAATTTTTCTACATCCATACGGAAGCTCAGTGACCATGTATTATTGTGATCTTTGATTTAAAATGTCTGCTTTATTTAAATTAGTACATAAAGTTTGACATATAACAATCTATTTAGTATAGAATGTGAAACAGTTGGTCTACAAGAAATATTGATATAAATTTTGATGAAATATATTTTTCGTAATTTCTATCAATTTGGTGAACACTATTTGAAATCCAAAGTGGCCGACAAAATACCAGTTATAAAACATATTCTTAGAATTATTGTGGTTAAAAATTATGTTTCTATGACAAATATTAATGTCTTGTCATATTTTTAGCACATCAGTGTCATATTTTCTTGTGCTCAATTAAATGGTCACTGTTATAAACAATAGATTTACTATAATTACTGGGGAGAAAATGTGCCTTACCTGTGAGAACATTTATTTTGGATACTTTAAGAAAGAAAAGTTAAAAAGTTTTCTAGATTTTAAACAACTCCTGAAACAAATGCAGAATAATTTTATATAACGCCTACATTTTGAGTGCTAGTAAATTGTCCAAAAAATAGTGACACGGATAAAGAAAATTAAATTTCCCGTTTGCATAAAGTGATCAAAAGATTGATGAAACTCACCAGGCCACAAATTAAGTTCAGTAGTTATGCCTACAACAAAGTCTGTTATGAAAATTTTATTGCTGGCAAGTTTAAAAATGTCTTAAATGTGAACAACTGTAAGTTTTTCAGCTATAAAAAAGGTGGAAGTGTGTATTGTTACGACAGTGGAAGTCACGTGACGCTGCTGGCGCATGCGTGACTGCATTTCTCGAATTATCAGGGAACTCCACGAATTTTGGAGAAGCGAATAGTAGTTACAGTGATTTCTGTGTA